ATTATAAATCCTTCCCAATTTAACACAGAATTACTTCATGTCTGCACCTGGCACTTAAGGTTTGGTTTAGAAGAAAGCTGTAGAATTGTGTGTTCTTGGCACAGTGCGGATCACCAACTGTGGTTCTGCCCCAGGAACTCACATGGCATCCACTCAAGACACAGTCCAGATTTCTCAATCCCATGTTTTCCCAAAATGCGGGAGATAATTATTGAAACTAATAGACACGTGTAAGCATTTCCAAGTTTAAAGACTTGTTTGTGATTTTTTCCCGTCTCCATTCTCAGCTCACAGAAAGGACTCGATTCTCGAGAGAAGATTCCATAGTTCATATCAAACTTGGATTTCAGTTATGTCCAATTAAACACCGAAATGTCAAAATTTGATAATTTCAAAATACATATTAAGCCATACAGCTTGTATAAAATTTGGTATTTAAATTGATGTCGAAATCCTGTGTTCTAGCGAATGACTCAGAATGGGTGTTGTTAGTTTACCAGGGTTACAGATGGACCTTTGCCTGTCCTTGTTTGGGAAATTGAAGCTTTTCCAGCTGAAAGTGACGTCTCTTGTCTGGAGAGTCATAAAGACTGTACCAAACTGGCTCCATCGCCTGTTTTTATAAATACAGAGTTAAACAGAGCCATGCTCTTCTCTCTATGTGCTTCTCTATGCTGCTCTTATACTATCAGGGTAGAATTATGACGATATCACCCGGAGCCCAAGAAGATTTTACCTCTGTTGGCATGAGATTCCCGTGCCTCCGAAGCAGGAGCATCTACTGGTCATGCCAGGCAAACAGGACTCAGTGACATTTTCTGAAAATGTGGGAGGACACCCACAAATGCTTTCCCTGATTTTATAGCTGTTAAGGGTATCGTTCGCATTGCGCATTACAAGACAGAGTAGCCTCAATTTTCATCCAACTTCGTATTGTCCTTCCCATGGAACATCCCGCTGGATTAATTACATATTTTGTCCCAGCCGAGTTCCGCACTTCCCATCTCTCTGTGTGTCTCTGTGACGTGAGGAGAGAAATTGTATTTGTTCAAGACAACAAGCTAAGAAACGAGGAAACACTGCTCCTGTTTTCGTGACTGTGTCTTTTCTGTCCTTTGATGACTGAGTGTGGACACTGCAAACCCTCAGCAGGGCAGTAGGACAGGTGGTTCCTTTCACCCACAGCCATGGTTCTCCTGTTCTTGGAAAGCTACTGAGTTGCAGGACACCTTGGTAGAGATCAAAGAACTGTTCTTGTTCCGAGGAGAACCAGAGTGACTGTGCCTAACAATCAGAAACTCCAGTTTATTTGGAATAATTTTAAATTTCGTAAGAGATAGGAAAGAGCTACCGAATGTCTCCAGGTCCCTTCCCCAGCTTCTTAACTTCCGTGTTGTCTATAATCCAAGGCAATAGTTATCCCTATACACCAGCGTCTGCAGCTCACACGTCAGCTGACTTTCAAAGTTTATTTATATTTTGTCTCTCTTGGGTAGGATTTTTGCTGGTCTTGTGTTCTGCCTCCGGAGGATCCTGTCAAGCGTATTTCTTGTTTTTCTGTGGTTTCCTAGTTAGGTGATTTTTTTTTTCATTGTCTTTGATTTTTCATGAGTATGTACTCTGGATCCGAGTAATCTTTGTTTTGTGGAATGTCTGTCAGTTTAGGTTTATCTGATATGTTAAGATTTATTTTAAGTGACACATGTTTGGCAGGAATAGTGGCCATAGAAATGGTATTTTTGTCCTTGGAGCCTGCGTTCCTATCACTGCTGATCTTATGTATGGAGAGTTGTACCTGCCAACTTTCTCCGCTGCAGAGTTAGCTTCCATTGGTTGGAACATGTGATATAGGGCACCTTTGAGACAGACAAATGGATGTGTCTGTCTCTATTCCTTCCACTAACTCTGGTATCCATTGGTATCTTTGTCTGTAACAATTATTTCTGTGAATTTCCTAATGGTAGTTTTTATTTCCAGTATTCCTGATTCATTGTCATTCATATATTTATTTTTGAGACTGGTCTTATATACCCAAGGCTGGTCCTTAACTTACTTTGTAGCCAAGGATGAAATGTATCATTTGGAGAGACCTTTTGAGACAGGCAATTATCCCCTTTTCTTCATCTCCTTGCCTATTAATATTGACATCTATTGGTAGATTTTCTGTGACAATTATTTTTATGAATGTTCCTATTCATAACTTTTATTTCTGTTCTTATTTATTTATATTCATCCATCCATCCATTCATCTATTTGTTTCTTTGTGAGGCAGATTCTCACATAGCCCAGTTCAGTCTCCGACTTGTTGTATAGCCAAGGCTGAGCTGGAATTTCTGATTCTCCTGCCTCTACCTTCCAAGTGCTTGGATTACAGGCTTTTGCCACAATGTCTGGTTCATGCAATTCTGGGTTTGAAACTAGAAACTCTGCATATTCTAGGCAAGTCCTCTGCCAGATAAGCCCCATCCCACCCCACCTCCACCCCGCCACTGTCTTCATTTTTGGATGCTACAGTGGAAGACAGCCATCAGCTTCACCATTATGTCGGCCATCACAGAGTTACAGATGTGTTGTTGATTCTGCAGTTCTGAGCTCCTGGTGGAGTTGTTCCTTCTGCTGTAAGGTGTCCCAACTTTGGTTGTGGGGACGGAGGGCATCGAGGTTGTATCTGCTTCCCTTTGCTGCCTCCTTTGTCTTTTGAACAGCACCTCACTCTCAGCATTACTAGGCATTGACACTCCACGTGTCTCTTCTCTGTTTCACTGTAATCAGCTGTCTTTTCAAGATGTCTTGTCTGGTCGGTGAATGACCTCAGACACCTAGGTCTGGGCATGAGGTGTGCTCGCTGATCCAGGGATGCCGCTGCTTCTCAGTGCTGGGACTGTCAGAATAGAGCGAGGAGATCTACGTGTCTCCTCCTGGCATCGGCACTCATCTGTACCGTCTGTTGTGTGTCTGTATACCTGTAGTCATGTACCACAGCATGGTCTTCCCAGCAGCCTGCCCATTAGACTACAGTAGATCTAGGGATTTTCACTGTCTCGGGTGAGATCATAGCATAATGCTTTCCTCATTTGTCAGTATAAAAGAACCTACTATATTGCCAGTCATGTAAAATTATAGCAATACATTATATGCGGGACATTCTATCATTATTGTATAGTATATTATGTCTTATAGAAAAGCTTAGTGTTCAGTGTGCCTCGCTGTGCCAACGATGGCCTCATCTATCTGGTGCACACAGTGCTATTGATTAATGGCCTCCATCTAGTGATTGGCTTACCCATGCAGGTCAGTGGCAGTATTCCCTGGGATTGATTGGGTTGCGCCAGCAAGGGAGCAGTGTTGCTCAGGGTGGCTTACTCCCACGAGCCACGCGTTTGTGCCGAGCCCCAATTCCAGTCTCACACCCCAGAGCTCATTGCAGCATCTCCTTGTCTGTAACTGCTGCTTCTGACAGTGAAAACATTGGCTTTCACAACCCAAAATATTGCCACTGTTTTGTTCATTCCTGATATGCGCGCTTGTAGCCGAGTGGGAGTTGCTAAACTATGTGCATGCACGAAGCAAGCTGACTCCCTGGGATACAGTGTTTACATGGCTGTTCTTTTATATTCAGCTTTATATAGTGGAGATAGCGCTTTTCCCTCCCAGTGCATCTAGGTGGCTTATGTTAAATAATGGAAATGGTGTTTTTTTTTTTCTTTCACAATGAATCTAGATTGTTTCTGTTTCATCCCATTGAGCATGGGCATGTGTCTGTAGAATGACCGCGATTGTCTGCACCATTGTGTTGTCCTCCGTGTCCCTGTCGCATGTTGCCAGCCTGTTGGGTTTCAGTTAGTAGTGGTGTTGTAGGTGATGATTCGTGATTATGCCTCTGACTTGCAGAGATAATCTAAAGTTTGTCCTTTCCTCTCTTTGCCATCTTCTGGTCCCCTCCCCTCTCCCTGTAAATGACTTATTCCACTGGTCTTTCTTTCGGTGTTACGCAGCAATGAGGAGACAGTATTTCTTGTAATATCCTCTTCCTCATATGTGAAGCATAAGATATATAGTGTTGTAGGGAGGCCCTTAGTCTGCTTCCTGAATGCCCGGCAGCTCAGACTCGAACTATTCACACAGAAACCATATTATTTAAAATCACTGCTCGGCCCATTAGCCCTAACTTCCTATTGGCCATCTCTTACATCTTAGATTAACCCATCTCCATTAATCTGTGCATCATCACGAGGTTGTGGCCTACCAGCAAAGTTTTGGCTCATCTGTCTCCAGGGATGGCTCCATGGCTTCTCTCTGAATCCGCCTCCTTTCTCCCAGCATTCAGTTTAGTTTTCCCTGCCTAGCTCTATTCTTTTGCCCTATCTGGGCCAAGACAATTTCTTTATTAACCAATGGTATTCACAGCATACAGAGGGGAATCCCACATCAATATAATTGAGGGATCAAGTACACATACAGATACACACATGTACACAACACAAAGACACACATGCATGACAGAAACCAGGCTGTGGTGGGTTGGATCTATAATCCCAGTACTTGAAAAATGGGAACTGAAGGTGAAACGATCAGAACTAAAACACCATCCCTGGACATAGCAAGCTAGAGACCCGCCTGGGTGACTGGAGATTCTTGTCTAAGGGTGGAGAAAAAGAAAGAGAAAAGAGGAAATACATCTATGCGTGCGTGAACTTGGGTGTCTTTGTATTTAGTAACGTAAAGAAGATTTAAATTCCCTCCCACCCTAGTGTTCTGCCCTGTCACTGTATCTTACTGTGTTTTTACCCATGGAGTTTTAGATAGGAAACTCTCTTTGTAGAAGTGTGTGAATGGATCAGGCCCCAGGGAGACAATGTTTCACTGAGATACTGCTTTCTAAAAAGCTAGCGTCCTTGGATATATTGCTGTCACCATTTCCCCCTAGGCTTGTCCTGGTATGGAGGAGTTTTGGAAGTTATTTCCTTTATTCATAAGTGCTTCTTGTCTGTCGTTTCCAGCTGGTAGCAGTGTTTGATGAACAGGATCCCCATCATGGAGGAGATGGTACCAGCGCCAGCTCCACCGGAACTCAGAGCCCAGAGATATTCGGCAGTGAGCTGGGCACCAACAATGCTTCTGCTTTTCAGCCTTACCAGGCCACGAGTGAAATTGAGGTCACCCCTTCAGTCCTCCGGGCAAGTAAGTGAGAGCTTCCTGTTTTCTGCATATTTTCTCTTAATTTCCAGGCACCCTAATGTCTGCATCCATCTTTGCTTCTACAAATGGAATTCTTTGTGTCTATCAGACATTGGTTGCGTTTTGAAGATAGACCAGTATCTTTCACACAAGAAGCCAGTTAGTATGTTCCTGTTCACAGATGGGCTTAGTTTTGTCTGTCGTTGAGACTTCTGCTTGCTCACTAAGGGCAAATGAGGATGGATTGCTGGGAAGCTACCCTGCACTCCCTTTGTGGATAGAAATAACCAAAGTCTTCTCATAGTCCACTCAGTTGTAGCCGTGACCCACAGAAAATGTATTTAATGACCTCTGCACTGAAGACATCAGTGGGGTTTTGGGAGAGAGGCAGCTAGAACCTCAAAGAAAGTTAGGGAGACAGAGAGTCTGTGAGGGGTAAAGTCCCCCCCCCCCCGGAACTCTAGTTCCAGGACATTGGTTTGATGGGTTCCATAACCAATTCCGGAAACTTTACACTGGAAAGTAAAATATTTCTGCTAGAATTAATACTTGCTTGTAAAATTTTAGAGCTGAGACATTGTTAGCAGTGAGATGGTGTTCAGGTGATTTATTATGTAGGTCAAGCATGCTGACACATGCCTGCAATCCTGCTCTTGGGGCTGAGGAGAGGACACTATGAGCCGAGCCATAGTGGGACCCTGTCTCACCCACATTCCTTCCCCAAAGAAATAAATACGTTTTTAAAGCTCATTTATCTTCAGGCAGCTCTGCTTAAGAGCCTTTCGATTTTCTTCAGAGTGAACACCTGGTCTTGTGTGACTTTTACTGACTGAGAGTCTTTGGTTATCCATTCTCCCCCCTATAGTTGATTAATAACATGTAACTATGTAATATCTAAAAGACGGCATAGGTAATTATTTAGAACGTGTCTCTTATTCTCCTTGAATGTATTGTAATTCCTTGTTTCTCATTGGTGGTGGTCTGTAGCATTTTAGCAACTTGCTTCTGCATGTCTGGAAACTACATCTACTTCTTTGCTTGTTTGCTCCTTCCTTTTTGTTTTATTTAGTCAACTGGGAATGTGAAATGTGTGCTCACTTGAACCTGAGCCTAATATAATAGTAAGCATCCAGAATACAAAGAGAGACAAGATGAAACATTCTTATAATTCTCTCAGAGACTCTGTATCATATAAAGGAAATCGCTACATAAAAGGAAAAAAAAATAAAAGAACTACCAAACTCTTTTACATTCTCTAACCTCCTTGGTCCCACACTAAGTCATGTTTATTTATTTATTTGTAAAGACTATTGTTACATGTTATTTGGCACTTTCGTACATGTTTATAATGCAGCCAGTAACATAGATCCTTATGCCTTTCCTCTGGAGCGCAGGAGACCCAGGTCCAATGGAAAATGTTTCCAAGGTTGGAGAAGAACAGCCTCTTCCACCTCCCCTTTCGTCTGGATATTCTCAAATGGCTGCTCCCTTAGCCTCCCCACCAGCTTATGATGCATCCCGCTTTTCTGGGCTTTGTGCATATATAAATAAATTTATTTTAAACCATTTTAAATAATTGGAAACAACAATTGGTCACTTCAAGGGTATGTTATCCAGAAAGTCCTCAGCTAAATGTGGTGGTGTACTCTTGTCATCCGGGCATTTGGGAGGTAGAGGCAAGAGGATCAGGAGTTCAGGATCAAGCATACCTATGTAACAAGTGTGAGACCACTCTGGAGCTACTTGAGGCCCTGTATTGGAAAACACAAAGCAGAACTATCGTTGGATTTACTTGAGGCAGGCAGTGTTCTTGAAAACAGAAATCAATGAAGGTGTCCGCAGGTTACCCTGTCTTTTTATTATCTGCCTTTGTATTTAGCACATAGTGAAATGAAGGTTTACTTAGGTTGAGCCTGTGCATGAAATGTAGATTACCTAAGTCTGACTTAATGAAAATCAAATGATAAAATAGCACAGATACGTAGGTGCCTGATGTTTGGACATTGTACCTTAAGTGCACATGCTTAAATTGAGGGCCCTCGTTGTCCGCTTTGTGTAGCTTGTGTTTGTGTCTTTTCTAAAAAAATAAAAATAAGTAAAATGTTGTCTGAACAGCACCTCCTGTGTGTATGTGGGGGAGCATTTTCATAACATGCCTCCTGTTAATTTTTACTTTTTCTCCCTTCCTTGGACCCAACAGAATTCCTCAGGAATAGCCACTCCTCTTGGCTGGATGGCTTTGAGTGTGCTGAAGTTGAAATCAGTTTTTGACTTCAATTGTCTCTTTAAACAATTTTAGAGAAGATGAATTTATATTTCAAGTGTATGTGTTGTGTTATTAGTGGGGGACTACGTGTGACATTAATTTAGATGTTATGCTTTGACTAGCCCCAGCAAGCAAGGAGTTAAGAATCTAATGTAGACAGTCCTCTTGATCACAGGACAGTCAGCCGTCACACCCGTTGTCTGTGAAAATGGCACTGTCTGTTTTGTCAATGATATCCAAACACACTATACAAGATTGTCTGCCCTTGCCAACCAGTGTGTTAGGAACTGAGAGTCCAGAGAGAGACAATGAGACAGTGGCAGTCCTTGGCATCACAGAACTTTCTAGCAATCTTTCTTATTTACACATTTGGAGTATGAAGACAGGACTCTATGAAAAAACTTTCTCAATGGAAAAATGACTCTAATCAATCACCATAAAGTTTGCCAGATAAATTTGTAATATAGAGTGAAGAGATTGCACACACTTGTGCACAGAGATTAATAGAGCCAATACTGGGAAGCCCAGAACGAAAGGAATCATTGTCTTAGACTCAAATGGCAGTTACCTAAAAGATGAGAGAACCCGTGAGATGGCTCAGTGGCCAATGGAGTTTGCCACCAAGCCTGACCACCTGAGCTCCATCCCTGGGACCCAGACAGTGAAAAGAGGGTACTGACTCCTGCAAATTGTCCTCAGATGCCATTCAGGTACTGTGGCACATCCACTTTGTGCACTGACACACACATGTGCCTGCTCACAGAGGAAGAATTCTCAGACCTTAATGAGTCATCCCAAAGCATGAATGGGAAGGGAGTTGATGGTCCCAACACACTGAGTAACTAACTAATAATGTAGCAACTGTTCAGCCTGATTGGAATAGCACAAAACTAGAGGTCAGCCATGTAAGCAGGACCTCTGAGAGTATTGTTGGTCACGTTGGACTCTGTCATCCTTCTGGCCAGTGGCTCTTACATCTGTCTTCAAAGTCAAAAGAAGACTCCAGTAAATTTGGGAGTGCTGTACACTCTATTGATATCTTAGCGTCTGGAAATGATACTGCTGAAAAGGGATTGACAAAGTATCTAGTTAGTTGCAAAGTATTGACAAAGTATCTGATTAGTTACAAAGTATTGACAAAGTATCTGATTAGTTACAAAGTATTGACAAAATATCTGGTTAGTTACAAAGTATTGACAAAGTATCTGGTTAGTTACAAAGTATTGACAAAGTATCTGGTTAGTTACAAATTATTGACAACGTTTCTGGTTAGTTACAAAGTATTGACAACGTATCTGGTTAGTTACAAAGTTTTGACAAAGTTTCTGGTTAGTTACAAAGTATTGACAACGTATCTGGTTAGTTACAAAGTTTTGACAAAGTATCTGATTAATTACATTTTATTTTAGTAACTTTTAAGTCTTTACATCTTAAATTATTTTAAAACTATATGAAGTCACCCAGGTAGTGGTGGCACACACCTTTAGTCTTAGCACTCGGGAGGCAGAGTCAGGCAGGTGTCTTTGTGAGTTCGAGGTTAACCTGGTCTACAAAGCTAGTTCCGGAACAACCAGGGCTGTTAATCAGAGAAAGCCTGTCTTGAAAAACCACTATTACTGCTGCCACCACCACCGCTCATATTAAGTCTTAGAACTATCATTTTTTTTCTGAAACTTTTAGCTTGCAGACTATTACTAATTTCATATATTTTAGAATTTAAAGAGATCTAAATATTTATTTAAAGAGTATATCATAAAGTAAATATCCCTCTTCCCCTTCTCTCTCTCTCTCTCTCTCTATATATATATATACACACACACACACATATATATGTGTATACACACACACACATATATCTCAAACTGTCATTGTGTCTTTGTGTGAACGATACATATGTGTGGGTACATGTGCCATAGCACGCATACAGACATGAGAGGACAACCTTCCTGGAGTTAGTTTTGTCTCTCACCTCTATGTGGGTTTTGGAATTGAACTTGTATCACCAGGCTCACACAGTAAATGCTGTCAAGGCTCAGCTGTTTGGCCAGTCTGCCTTTTTCCTTTTTGATCTCAGGTTTTTCCTTATCTAAGAATATCGAGATCTGTTTAAAGATTTGTTCAGAGATAGAGAAGACTGACTATCTTTGGTTTAGAGACCTAGTCTTTAACGTTTAGCTGATATTAGCATGCTGTTTCTTGGATCTGATTTAAATACACATTGAAACTAGAGCTACTATTCTATTGTATTTCCTTTTGAGGTTTTAGACCGTGGCATACAAATGCCATTCTCAGAATTTCACATAATTGCCTCCTCACCGAGTAAGCTCCATTCAGCATCCAGAGCCCTTCCAGTTTTGTTGTGGATGCAATCTGATTATTACATGTTGACAAGGTCATATATCTATTAATTGGACTGGAGATGGGATACAAAATTGCTGTAATTATTGTAATTTTCTAGCTAATTGCAGAGTTGGTAGTGAATATTTTACTTCTGCATAATGAAAACCAGTATTCCACCAGAATTTGTTTTATAGGGCATCAGACATTTTGTTTTCTATCTTTGGTGATTTTCGCCCCACACATACCGATCCACCCCAAATGCCACCATGCTCCCAGGCTCGGGGTGAGGGGTTCTTAGACTCTCTCCACTCTGTTGGTTGCACTGCTGCCAGTGCTTGTTTATAAACTGGAGCATTCTCCTTTCAGGCCTACAGCAAAGGTTGGATGATCTGCCCCA